GTACGAACATAAAACGACGAGTTCTTCAACTCAGTCCTGTATTACGACTGAGAACGTGATACTTTGTGGAAGTCATATGCTTCCAAGAGGAGTATAAATCCGAATTTCTGTGCAAAAAAATAATGTGTAAAATCTTTAAAAACCCATATTTTTGGATGTAGGTATATTTAAGCAATTTATTAATAAAACTAGTTTTCTAAAAAAAGACTTTATAATAAATAATACCTATTTAAACCTCAAATTTAAAATGATCGGTTTAGAGGTTTAGGTGTAATTGACTAGAACTAAAACTCCGGCGACATCTGGCAGCCAAATTTAAAACTTCACAGGAACACTTCTAATGATACCTTAAACATATATTTGAAGTAGGCGCCGTAGTTCCTGAGTTTATCGATTACGAACAAACATTACACTCTTATTTATATAGATAGATAGATAGATAGATAGATAGATAGATAGATAGATAGATAGATAGATAGATAGATAGATAGATAGATAGATAGATAGATAGATAGATAGATAGATAGATAGATAGATAGATAGATAGATAGATAGATAGATAGATAGATAGATAGATAGATAGATAGATAGATAGATAGATAGATAGATAGATAGATAGATAGATAGATAGATAGATAGATAGATAGATAGATAGATAGATAGATAGATAGATAGATAGATAGATAGATAGATAGATAGATAGATAGATAGATAGATAGATAGATAGATAGATAGATAGATAGATAGATAGATAGATAGATAGATAGGTAGATAGATAGATAGATAGATAGATAGATAGATAGATAGATAGATAGATAGATAGATAGATAGATAGATAGATAGATAGATAGATAGATAGATAGATAGCTAGATAGATAGATAGATAGATAGATAGATAGATAGATAGATAGATAGATAGATAGATAGATAGATAGATAGATAGATAGATAGATAGATATAGCTTATTGCCAATTTCATTGCGATACATGGACAGCCGAAATGGCTTTATCGACTTCGAAAGTTTATCGGTACACTTTAAGGTGCGTATAGGATTAATTTTTTTGTGCGTTACAAATGATAGCACAATACTATGTTGGCATAGGGTATAAAAACTTATTGATTGTTTACAAACAATTTTGCCAACTAAATAAGTATAAATAATTTATTTGTTTTTTCGTTATTTTTCCATAAATTTACGTTTCGAAATTTGTGTATAAAAAAAAAAAAAAGAAATAAAGAAAATTATTGTATTATTTATTACCAACAACCTATTTCATTAGTCGTCAGCATTATTGATTACAGGAAATTATAGACAGCTGGATATTTTCTAACCAAGAAAACCAATAAAAAAACAAGGCAATATAAAATTATATTGACAAATACATATATAAATGAATATTTTATAGTTTGCTTTTTTTATAACTTCTTCTTCTTCTTCTATACTGTTGCCAATTTCTATTGTAGTATTTTAATTAGTTTTGTAGACAGTTTTAACACGAGTATTTTACGCTTAAACCATAATTTGTATACAAAAAAGCAAAAAAAAAAAAGGAAAATTGCATGTCCATATTAAAAGGAAATAGTATAACAATTCTTTAACTTTCAACTTGTTTTAGAACACAATAACAGTTGTTTGTCTAATGCCGTACTAACGTAAACCGGTATTAAGTTTAACAGACGTGAGGTAGTCCAAATATCCAATAAAAACAACATTAATATGTTAAAAAAAAAAACAAAAGTACAAGAAAAATATTAAAAACCACCACGATTGTTACAAAAGTAACGGACGTCTAAAAAGGATACACACACCAATACATTCTAATAATACACACACATACTAACACATATTAGGATGTCGACGTCAACACCGTGAGTTTGACATGAAAATAAAACGTCAATTTACTTCCTTATGAAGTTTTCGTTTATTAGAATGAATATGTTAAAAAGGAGAAAGAAATTGAGAGAAGTAGACTTATCGTGAGAGTAATAAACACAGTTGTTTATTGCAAAGAGTATGAGAGAGCAGGAGAGAGCTTTTGAAAAGCAAAGGCGCGTAAAAAAACGAAAAACTATGAATAAAATTTATTTACAGCTGCGAATACTTAACGTAGACTTTCCACTTTAAATATATATATAAAATTCGTCGCACACATATTGTCTCCTTTAGAAAAGGAATCATACAAAAAAACTTTAAATGATATTGCCGGATTTTGAGTTTTTATATGAAAATAAGAAAACTATGGAACAACTAAAACTCGACACAATAATAACGACAAAAGAATGAGTCAGTGGATTTTTGTTAATGGAAATGAAAACTCAAATTTCGGATTGTATCTAGGTTATTTTCGCCACTGTTAAGTCAATTCTGAGCTTAAGCAGATAAAGCGTTTCGACTTTCTGTCTAAGAGATAATTAGTATGAAAGCAACTGAATTCTTTAGCCTCATATAACTAAGAATAACACAGGCCAATAAAAATCGAAAAAGTCCAATAACAGAGATAATTGTTTTCTAAACGATTATGACGAGCTGAATACCAATCTGGCCTTTTCGAGTTATAGTTTAGAAAAAAATAATTTTTTGCAGAAATTAAAACATCATCTGAAAGTCCAATATGTTGACTTAAAAATAATGGTTTAACCACATTTATATATTTTTTCTCCATTGCGTTATCAATGCCAGAATCGGATTCAGTAGAGAATACATTGGTCTCTGGGTTTAAAGTTATCTGGATCGTAGAGTAAAACTTCGGATGATTAATTTTGTGATTGTACCTGCTTTCCGAATAAAAACGTTAAGTTTGATTTGTAAACTAATGGACTGGAAAATGAAATAGGTGAAATCCGAAGGAAGTACACTTTAATATTTTGATAAAAGAATTCACATCCTCACTTTGGACGCAGTAACCATTTCAGCATCACCTCATCAACATATACAATTTTTTAGTGTGTGACTCACTTTTAAAGAAGACTTATAGTTTAATGATTCTGAACTTGGAACTAATTTCAAGAAAGACCATGGCAGTGTTCCAGTGCTTCACATGTCTGTGTTTCTTCGCCACATCACGTTCTCTTTTCGTTTGGGCCACCCCATAACATACCCACCATACTATTAATCCATGCAATCGATAGGAAGCCTTTTTTGGACGCTATTAAATTTAATCCAGCTCATTTTACACTTTCTGGACTTACGGCTGGATACCCTGGATGTTGTGATCTAAAAGAGGGAAATATATCTCGGTTTCTGGGTTTTCAATTTAGTTTCTCTGAACCGTTCTATCTTCCAACTTAAAGCCATAACTGTAGTCGAAGATTTTCATGTTACCTCTAATTTTCCCCTTTACCATAGTACTCAATCTGGGATCAGTGTCAATGCAATTTTTGACAATCGCTGTCTCTTGTATTCAACCGAGCAATCCGTGTAACAGCATATTACTTTATCTGGTAATTTATAATGCAATTTTCGACAATTTGTGTTTCTAGTATTCCATCGATCCATCAATATTCCACTTGACCATATCACTCCATTTGGCATCAATGTTAATGCAATTTCCGACAAATTCTATCTGTTGTATACGATCGAGCCAAGGATTAGATGTAAACGCCAAACTTTTAACTGTCAACTGTGATCGCTACAGGGCCCCTCTAGCTCTAATATTTCTCTTTACCATAGTACTTCATCTGGGATCAGTGTTAATGCAATTTTCGACAATCGTTGCCTCTTGTATTCGATCGAGCCATCCGTGCAGCAGCAGATTCCCATGGATTTTGGCTCTAATGTCTCCCTTGACAATATTACTTTATCTGGTATCAATATTAATGCGATTTCCGAAAATTTCTGTATCTTGTTTTCGATTGATCCAGTTAATTTGCCACTTGGCTATATCACTCCCTTTGGTATTAATGTCAATGCCTTGTATTCGATCGAGTCATGGATGTTAGCTTTAATGTTTCACTTTACCATAGTACTCCATTAAGCATCATTGGAATTTTAGACATTTTCTGTCTCTTGTATGAGATTCAGCAGATTCCCATGGATGTTAGTTGTAATGTTCCACTGACCACAACTCCCACTATTTCGGTCACTTGTACTCGTCTGATGTTTATTTATAACCGTCCAATATGTGCTCTAATATCTCGCTTGACCATATTACTTTATGTGTTATCAATGTCATAGTAATTTACGACAAATTCTTCTTGTATTCGGTGATCGCTAGAGGTCCTTACAACATGAAACAAAATCGAAATATTGCTTACCAATTTCGGCGTGGGTCGTTCGTGCAATTTTAATCCACGTTTGTCTTTTGAGATACATTAAATTATCGATCTGTATCAGAAATCAAACAGTGCTTGACGAACTGTAAGCCAACATTAAACTCGAAAATCCTGTTGATAAATCCCTGATTTTTTAAATTTCCCATTAACTGAACAACTTTTATAAATAAAGGTAATCTCGCGTCAAAAATTGTGTTTTTTCAAATTTCATGGCACGATATCTGGAAAACCTGATGTGATGGATAGATTTGGATTCGGATTCAGTGCTACTCAATCCTTTAGAGAAGTATACTTTAGCCTCTAAGTTTCGAATAAGACTTGAAAGTCTACAAACAATTCTAGACTTGACCTATTGGGAATCTTTAAACTTTCATAATCTGGCAACACTTTCACAAAAAAAAAAAAAATAAAAAACCAACGAACATAAAAAACGACAGATACATGCAGACATTTCACTAATTCTTCAGTGTTTGACCTGTAAATGTATGTGTGTCAGAACTTATATGTATGTAAAGGTAAGTAAAATTAAGGATAAAATCCTTAACTTCCATACATTCAGCCAATACATTTACCTAAACTTTTTGATTTCATAAAACATATGCCATTAATTATTACAAAATTATTATTTTTTTAAATATATCAAAAAAAACTTCTTCTTTTTAAAATTTGCACAATTTTTTTTTTCGAAAATACTCACCTACACTCACACATACATGTACACCACATACTTCTTTTTGTTTTTGGTAAAACACCCAAAAATGTTTGTCGTCGTCGTCTTCTTCGCGGTTGTTAAAACTGCGTGATTTTTACCGAAAAAAAAGAAACTTTTTTCTTCTTACAAATATTTTTCTCCTGGTACACAATTTTATTTTCAAACACTTTCACTTGCTTTTTCTATGATTTATTATAGGCTTTTAAAAAAAAAAAAATGCTGTAAATTTCTTTTTCATATTTATTAATTAAATAAATTTACTTTTTTCACTCTTTTAATATAATTTTTTTAATGGAAAATTTTTGTAATTAATCTGCTAAATTTTATATAGATATTTATGGATATATATAAATTTTTTTTTTTTCTTCTTTTTTGCTAATTTCCATCGCACATTCTTTAACTTTTAATATTTTATTGTCGTGTACTTTGTTTTAAGTTGATAACAACCATATTGTGGTATATCCTGAACTCAACTGACATTACAGTGAGTACACACACATTGCTAAAACGTTTCAGTTAATTATAGTAGTCGTGAAAACGACAGAAAAGCTCAACGAATAAGGAGGGAGAGCTTTTCGTTTGACATAAAAGTACATAAAGCAGAGCTGTTTGAAAAAGGTAGTAAGTACAGCAGGGAGGATAGATAATTGAGAGGCGGTTTTTATATGCTTCTCAATTTGTTAGCTTTGTTCTTTGACTTTTTTGGTTAAAATTTTATATTAGATTTTTAGATTATCAGACCGCTATCAGTCTAACTACTGTGTGCTTCTTTAGATGAACAATTTTGGTGGGAAAAGCCCTATATAGTGCTATATGAAAGTATAATATTTCGATGTTGTGAAACTTAGGATTCCTAGATTTAAGTTCTCAAAATTCCTGTGGGATGTTATATCTAGATTCTAAAATAAAATCGTTCTCAAAGTGTTAATTTCGACGAAAGCGTGGCCATGTTAAGGAAAGTCTTCCAGGGTGCTGGTACGTATCATCACACTAACCTCGGACTTCCTCTTTCTTAGACTATGGCCTAGACTGTAGACTAGACTATAGACTAGACTATAGACTAGACTATAGACTAGACTATAGACTAGACTATAGACTAGACTATAGACTAGACTATAGACTAGACTATAGACTAGACTATAGACTAGACTATAGACTAGACTATAGACTAGACTATAGACTAGACTATAGACTAGACTATAGACTAGACTATAGACTAGACTAGACTATAGACTAGACTATAGACTAGACTATAGACTAGACTATACACTAGACTATAGACTAGACTATACACTAGACTATACACTAGACTACAGACTAGACTATAGACTAGACTATAGACTAGACTATAGACTAGACTATAGACTAGACTATAGACTAGACTATAGACTAGACTATAGACTAGACTATAGACTAGACTATAGACTATACTATAGACTAGACTATAGACTAGACTATAGACTAGACTATAGACTAGACTATAGACTAGACTATAGACTAGACTATAGACTAGACTATAGACTAGACTATAGACTAGACTATAGACTAGACTATAGACTAGACTATAGACTAGACTATAGACTAGACTATAGACTAGACTATAGACTAGACTATAGACTAGACTATAGACTAGACTATAGACTAGACTATAGACTAGACTATAGACTAGACTATAGACTAGACTATAGACTAGACTATAGACTAGACTATAGACTAGACTATAGACTAGACTATAGACTAGACTATAGACTAGACTATAGACTAGACTATAGACTAGACTATAGACTAGACTATAGACTAGACTATCCCGATTTAATTGTTTGCAGCTGGAGAAATACAGATACAGATGTCTTTGTCCGTGTAAGACTCGGGTTCGGAGCGAATATCCAATTGTCGTGAGAATAACAAAATTATCAGATATTACCAGAAATCTGTTGATGAACAGTAATCCAGAGCAAACCTACTGAGGAATGTTTCGCTGCTTTTAGGGCAGCTTTACCCATTCGATTAAAGGGAAACCAGTTCATTATGACAAAACGAACATTAGATGTAGATAAGTATAAATAAGACACATGTAATGATAATGATTAGTACTCATGTGAAAGATTCTTTCAAATGTTTTGCTGTGAGTAGCTTTCTGTCGTACAACAATATAGGCTTAACAGTCATGTCAAAGAGCCATTTAGTGTTTTTTATTGTTAACCAATATTTTCTCTGTTGCTCTTCTGCACGAAAAATACTTGTGTGTTCAAATTCAGGATATATACCAGATATTTTGTACTTCAGATAGAGTTAATACTGGAAATTCCATAGAAGAACTTAATCAAAGTAGGCGCTGATCAATTTTCTTCTTAGACACAAAATCCATTTAACAAGTCTATGAGCATGGAGTTTTGATATAGATAAGGTTGCGTTTGATTAAGTGATCAAATCCAAAGAAATACACCTAAGCCATACTTTACATGAGCAATTATGGTGGGAAAAAACCTTATAAAGCCTTCTATGAAGGTGTCATCGTACGATTTTCAAAATTCAGATGTAGTTCCGTAAAATTTTCCAATCTATATTTGTAAGGAATATTATATTTGGAATGACATCACTCCCAAGACATTTAGAGCTAATTTCGACGAATTAATGACAAAGAGAGTGTTCGTGATTTTCACTGCATTCTCTGCATGCTCTACAATTCTCCGGACGTCCAAATTTGCATAGTTATACCCATAATACTTCATGTAGCAACGAATACTAAAGATCTTTGCTCTATCTCCATAATATCTAGCTTCCAGGATTCTGACTTGAAACTAGGTCATTGTCTTCAACAATATATACGAGTTCGTTTTCTTATTGGGTATTTGCTGTAATGTTCCGCTAGACCTTCGCAAAATCAAGCTTTGTTTCCTTTACTCGCAGGATTCTGGCTTAAGATTAAGGTATAGCTTATCTTCGACAGCTCCTCGAGTGATGTGCTTCTATTTGTTTCAGATATTTTCCTGGAATTGACTCAATATAATTTTCTGTAGCATCCTCTTCGAATTCCTTAACTGTGCCCTAGAGATCCGTTTTTTGTTGGGTCTCCATGGCGCATAATATGCCACGGTGCCCACTACCTTAGTTGTCTTATGTTAATGATATATATTCTCCTACGGTGATTAAAAATACTGTATGGTTAGCTAGAATATTCCCCATATAAGTCAGATACACTTAATATTCCAGACGTTTTGGTCTCCAGACAAGTCGGTGATCATTACACAGACAGAAAATTTTTTAATCCATTATTATGTCTGACATATCGTCTCACTTCTTCGAGATATCTTCACCTGTCGGTTCCCTAAAATTGTGTTCGAAAGGTTAACTCTTAAACGTTTCATTTGAAGAGACACTAGAGAATAAGCTCGACTGGAATAATATTAGGATTTCATTAAGATTTTTTTAATCTTTTTCAATATCTATTACAACACACTAGGTCATTGCAAAGAACCAATTGTTTCCAATTTATGGGTTCGTAAGACAGAATTAACTCGATCCGAACAGTATTCGGCTCTTGGCAAAATGTATTACTCTTTATCAGCGTTCCCACGACAATTGGATCTTCGCTCCGGAACGACCCGAGTCATACTCAACCCAGCGACAGCTGTATCAACCGAAAGTTTTTTCCCCAGGAAAGAACTATCGGCCACAGTCGAACTGTTACAACAACAACAATTCTTTATCAGTTATTATATCAAGACACTAATTTAACCAACTATTAAGCGATTAGAAATTCCTAAAAATTTTATGAGACAAAATCTATCTACAATTAGTTTAGTTTTGAAACAATTACCTGTTTTATCCGCAAACATGCTCGTTCTTTTGCTATTAAAAACTCTCAAATTTTAAACTTGTGGTTTCTTGAATAATTCTTTTTGTTTTTGATTTCTTGAAATCTATTAACAATAAGTAAGAAATTATAACAGTTTAATAATTATATACATTTTATTTAAAATACACAATTTTTGCATACAAACACGCAGGGACGACACTCACTTTGTTGGTTTCTTTAAATGTACACAATTCCATAGCACAAGGGCCACAGCAGCAAATTTGATTTTATTGGCTGAGCAGATTTAAATGTATTTTTAACTGGAAACTTTGAAGAATACTTAAAATTGTTGAATTGCTTTTTTTGTTGTGGTTGTTTTTATAATCACTATATTTCAAATTTAAACGAATACTTGTTGTTGTATGAACAGCAATCATCCAAAGACAGACCATAATCAAAATGTTGGATGAGTACGTATAAAATAAGTATCATATTCCTTATCAATCCATTTGATTAATTTATCAACATTTTTAATGACAGTACTTTTCTTTGTCAAGGGTTCGAAAACGGCATAAAGCTCATAGGTAGCAGTGGACCAGGCCAATATAACTTCACTACTTTTTGCTTCGAATATTAATTTCAACGGTCTCGCTGAATGATGAACTCTTTCCATTAGATCACAGTAAATACCCTCTAAACGTTCAAATTCTGGCAGCGATATATAGGGCGGTATTAATTCTGAACAGAGAACTTGAGCAGTTGATTTGGGTTTATAAATGAAATGTCTTAATTCCGGTATGCCAATATTTTGAGCATTTAATTGATATTTTGGATTTGTTATATGCTGCACTGATTCATTGATATTCTCCAAACATTGAGAACGTTTCATTTTTTCTGTAATGGATTTTTTAGCACTCGACAGCGTAAAGAAATCATCACGATCGACGGTAAGCAATAGTAAACAGGCCGGACATTCATCTTCTAGATACGAAACATGAGCATGCAAATAACCATTCATATCGAATTTTGGCAAACAAATGGGTGTCCAATTTTCAGAGGTTTTAAATGATTCCGTACTATCGATTAAATTGAAAATTAATCTAAAAGCAAAGGAGGAATATTATTTGTTGCCAAACATTTTGTATAGAGATTTTAGCTAAACTCACCTTAAATCCGATTGATGTATTGAATACTTTTTCATGCGCACCAAACATATTAAACGATTCTTTGCTATTAATATGGCAAATACTAAATTCTTAATTTTACTACAATTATCCTTTATCGCACTCACTATACTGGAACGGGTCGACGACTGCATGGGTAAGCATCTTATCGAATTGGTTAGAAATGTAAAAACATTATTTGTTACTTTTTTATTGCTACTGTCGTTCAACAACAGATTGTTTATTAAACGCTCGCTACCCTCTAGCAGGCGGCGTAGATCGAAATTTTTACGATGTTGGAAAATTTTCGTTAATTGGGTGAAAGTTAGGGTAGATAGAATTTGATTGTGAACATCGCTGAAAAATAGGAAATGAGAAATAAGCGATTTTTGTTTTAAAAAAGTTCAGCGCAATGTTTTAGCTGGATTGCAAAAATACCTTTGCTGAATTATGTTTTTTTAAACTTTAGTTATATTTTCAAGAAATATAGTTTGCTGAATTATTAAATTATTAGCTGAATACCATTTTAAAGCAATGTCTATACATATTAAACTTCTTGTTGTTTTACCAGATGTATACAAAATCATTTAGGAGAAATTTAGTTTGCTGAATTAAGAAATCATTAGCTGAATACCATTCTAGAGAATTAATTACATTAAGCTTTATGTTGTTTTACCACTTTTATACAAAAACGTTTAGCTGAATAGCTTTTTACCCCAGCTGAATTATGTTTTCATAACTTAAACTTTTTAATATTTATTTAACAAAGAACACTTCCATGCTTAATTGCAAAATACCTTAGCTGACTTATGTTTTCTTATACTAAAAATATATGTAGATATATTTTTTAAGAAATTTAGTTTGCTGAATAATGAAATGATTAGCTGAATAATATTCTAAAGGAATAATTATATTAAATTTCTTGTTGTTTTACCACATTTATACAAAAACGTTTAGCTGAATAGCTTTTTATACCAGCTGAATTATGTTTTCATAACATACACTTTTTAATATTTATTTAATAAAGAAAACTTCTTTGCTGAATTGCAAAATACCTTAGCTGACTTATGTTTTCTTAAACTAAAAATATATGTGATATATTTTTTAAGAAATTTAATTTGCTGAATTATGAAATGATTAGCTGAATAATATTCTAAAGGAATAATTATATTAAATTTCTTGTTGTTTTACCACTTTTATATAAAAACGTTTAGCTGAATAGCTTTTTATACCAGCTGAATTATGTTTTCATAACATACAACTTTTTAATATTTATTTAATAAAGAAAACTTCTTTGCTGAATTGCCAAATACCTTAGCTGAATTATGTTTTCTTAAACTAAAAGAATATTTATATATATTTTCAAGAAGTTTTTTTTTTGCTAAATTATGAAATTATTAGCTGAATACCATTCTAAAGAAATAAATACATTAAACTTCATGTTGTTTTACAATTTTATACAAAAACGTTTAGCTGAATTGCTTTTTATCTCAGCTGAATTATGTTTTCATAATACATATTTACAAAATTCATTAGCTGAATTGCAAAATAGCTCAGTAAATTCCTTGTATTAAAGGAATATTTGTGTAATTTTTTTAAAGATTTTTTTTTGTTGGCTGAATACGTATGTACATATATAATTGAAGCTGAATTTAGATTATGCCTAAGTTTACCTAGATTAAAATAAGTTTTTCCTTCTGAAATACCATACAAAATCAATCAAAAATCTATACTCACTTTAATTGCATTTGCAATTGTGTAACACTCATGTTTGTCCTTGAGGCGGCAACAAATATTAAATGGCTTTTAATCATAAACACAAACTGTATGCCACGGGCATGTATAGACGTTAAAACATCTTGAGTATTTTCCACAAAACTCACTAAAGCCTGTATTATGCCAAATAGTATTGCCAATTTATCTTCGCAACCATGTAGAGAGTAAATGGGTTTGCCAGCCTCACTCAATATGAAAATATGTTTTTTATGGCCACGCCATATGGGATCTTGTAATAGAGCACTATCGGCACTATTCAAGGAATTTGTGTTTGTTAAAGCGTTATTTGTAGCATTGCTTTTGTTTTGTTCCGGTGACACCTCTAAAATCGAGTCTTTTGAAAGCTCCGGTGTGGTGAAGGAATCACTTTCAGAAATCGATTCTAAAGCTCGTGAATCATTGATGGTGTTATTTGTATGTTGTTCTTGTTTTACCATAGGTTCGATTTCAGCTAGTGTTTGCATTTTATCTAAAGCATTTGTTTTTAGTTCTGCAAAATTAAAATTCAATTAAAATACATGTAATTATTTAACTTTAGTGTTACCACTTACCTTCTGTTTTTAACTTTTCCCTGTCTATAAGTTCCTGTACACTTCGTCCACATTTAGCACAGCAAAATTCTTCTGTTAAGTTTCCTTCTTTAGTTATCCGCCTCACTTCTATTTCCGCTAAGCTCTTGAAAACACAACATGTATCACTATCATCATTACTTTCTGCATCATAAAACTCCGCATTCGATGATGAATTCGATGCAATTGTGGGTGTCTCAAAATGATTGCTGCTGCTGGCCATAATATTTTTTCAATTTTTCTCTTTGCCAAAGTTTTTTCATAAATTTATCTACTTTTTTAAACTAATCTAATCATAATTTGTTTATTTCAAATTTCCTTTGTTTTAGTGCAATAATTTAAGAAAATTTTCCCTAAACGGCACAAAAATAAAAATGAAAATCTTTTTTGTTTGTAATTTATTAGAAATTGTGTCAAAAAATCTGTAAACTATATGGTAGCCTTGTCATTACTCAGCTGTTCGTAATATAACAGAGTTGTCATATTTAATGATGCCACAGGAATGTGAAATGAAGTAAAATCGCTTAAATGTGTTTTAACGCTAGGGTTCTATAGTTGAAACGAAAAGTCAACTTTTCGACTTTTGCATTTAGTTAAAAGTCGACTTTTCGACCTTTCGACTTTTTCCATTTTATGAAAAGTCGATTTTTCGACTTTTTGACCTTTTTCATTTATTTAAAAGTCGACTTTTAGACTTTTCGACTTTTAGTATTTTATAAATGGTCGACTTTTCGACTTTTTCCGACTTTTCGACTTTTTCCGACTTTTCGACTTTTTCCGACTTTTCGACTTTTTCCGACTTTTCGACTTTTTTCGACTATTCGACTTTTTTCGACTTTTTCCGACTTTTTCCGACTTTTCGACTTTTTCCGACATTTCGACTTTTTGATTTTTTACGACTTTTTGACTATTTTCGATTTATTTGGATTTTTCTTCGACTATTTTCGACTATTTTTTTACTTTTTTCGAGTTTTTCCGACTATTTTAGAGTTTTTGACCTCTTTTCCACTTTTTTAAAATTTTCGACTTTTTTCGACTTTTTCCGACTTTTCGAATTTTTCCGACTTTTCGACTTTTTTCGACTTTTCGACTTTTTTCGACTTATCGACTTATCGCCTTTATTCGACTTTTCAACTTTTTTCGACTTTTTTCGACTTTTATTTACAAAGTCGACTTTTTTCATAGACGATAGTCGAGTTATCGACTTTTTTGGAACAAAATAGTCGACTTCGACTTTTCGACTTTTTTCGACAAAAAGTCGATTGTTCGATTATTCGAAAGTCGATTTATAGAACCCTATTTAAAGCTGTACTTTTTAAAACATTTACCTATCGATATGACAATTTTGAAAGTTTCGGCTTTAATTGACGTTTTTGGTCTTATTTCAATTTTACATTGAATTTATTGAATTTTTTTTTTAAGAAAATAGTCGACTTCGAATATTTTGCAGAAAAATTGTCGTAATTTTCCGTTAAAAACTCGATTGTTAGAAAGTCTATTTATAAAACCCTAATGAACTTTGTAAGTGTTTTAAAATTACGGTAATATAAGCCGACAATTTTACCATAACAGAATATTTGATCTTCGCTCCGGAACGACCGGAGTCGTACTAGGCCAAAAATTGTAAACTTAGCGACAGCTGCATTAATTGAACATTTTTATACAGAAAAGAATTATCGGCTATATTGCAACTATAATTTGTGGTTACAACAACAACCATAATGGAATTTTTTCATTCGTTCCATTTACCGTTATGTCTTCTTATTACTAAACACGTTCTTAGTATGTTTTTGTTAACAAACTTTTTGCCTACTTTACACTCATTTTGTAAATACATGTGGCAACATTTAAAATGTCAATTGAATAATTCCTTCGACTGGCGAGAAAATTGTGTAAAAAGTGAAATAAAAATTTACGAAAATGTTAACACAAACTCTAAGAAATGGTAAATTATTAATTAAACTAGAATTCAATCATAGTTACACAGCTAATATCCTTAAAAAGTTTGTAGATTACCAGTGTTACACCAATTACGTGCACAATCAACGGCAGCCGCCGCTGTAGCCAGCGAAACAACACAACCTGAAATTGAAGATATTGCGGCGATTGAACAACGTATTTTGAAACATCCCGACTACTTCCAGGTGCACAATTTATTCACAGTACGCGATCTGTTCAATGCCCGTGTACATTATGGCCACAAGGAGGGTTCCTTAGACGATCGCATGCGTCCCTATATCTATGGTAGTCGTTTGGGTCATTTAATTTTCGATTTGGATAAAACAGCAGCTCATTTGCGTGATGCCTTGAATATCACTGCTCACATTGCCTTTAGAGATGGTATTATTTGCTTCTTCAATCGTAATGCCTTAAATGCCCATTTGGTTGAGAAAAAGGCCATGGAGGCGGGTGAGTTTTCGCATACAAGATTCTGGCGTGGTGGTATATTCACAAATGCTAATGTGCAATTTGGTGCTGTAACACGTTTGCCGGATTTGTGCATTTTCCTCAACACACAAAATAATGTTTTGAATCAACATATGGCGGTGAGAGATGCCGCCAAAATGGCCATACCCACGGTGGGCATAGTAGATTCCAATTGTAATCCAAATTTAATAACCTACCCAGTACCTGGTAATGATGATTCACCGTCAGCCGTGGAACTATATTGTGACCTTTTTAAGGCAGCCATTTTGAGGGGCAAACAGAAACGTCGTGAACTGTTGGGAGAAGCGCCGGTCCAAGAACAGGCTGCTAAGAAACATTAGAGTTTTTGTTAAATTTTTGTAAAAATGTTAAAGATTAAAATTAAAGATATTCAAAAATTTGTTCTCTTAAATTATACATTTTATTGGTTCTAATGAAAAATATTGTTTTTAAATACGATTAAAATTTATTGGAGTATCATGAAGTCCATTGTCATCCGTCTAGGAAAAACTACCGCAGAATTTAAGAAATTTTTGATATTATCGTTGAACTATTTGATAACCTACAGACTAGTCTTCGCCACCAACGCGAAGTATCCTAATTTACCTTATATCGAAATGCCAGCATTAGCTTTGTAGGATACTGTTGTTTCATAGTTCTTTATATCATGACTAATTACAAAGGAATTCGTAAAACTAATATAGTTCAGGCAGCTTTTAAGGTCTTTAAAATCATTAGCAAATTTCTCATTTAGCATTTTGTATCCATACACACTATGACATTGTACTTTATGACTACCCACATCCTCTTGCAAGTTGATTTAATAATTACTTTCATATAATATTCAATCCATACCAAATGTAGTCGTCGGACGCTCTAGCATACCACCCGATACGAAACCCTTAAAACCACCATAACCTCCCAAAATTTTTCTACCCTCTTCGTGTTCACCAAAATTGCCTGTATTTTGCAAAGTTGGCTTAAAGTATCCCATATCCCTGGGAGGATTTTTCTTCAGTACATACAGTTCACCCATTTCATTAGAACTATCATCAGCTTTAACATAATTGCCGTATTTCTCAGTTAAATGTTGTTTATGATTGGCCATAATCTCTCGAGCATTGGCTAAACGTAATAATTGTCTTTCTTCCAACTCACTAACTGGTATCTTACCCAGACGCTGTACCACACGCTTAGCATTGTAAAATTCTCGATTCTTAAACGGTTTCATAGCCTCTCTATATTCTTTCCATTGTTGTTTTTTCTCTTCTTTACTGATTTCCAGATTTTCCTCGGGTATTTTTGGTTTAGGTATAAAAGGCTTGCCATCTTGTCTCGCCTTGGGATTGGGTATATATACTTTAGGTTCGTTATTTATAACTACGTTAGATCCTTGCCCATTGTTTTTGTCGGATTTTTTGTTATCTCCAGCAGATTTCTTGGATTTTTTCTTCTTTTTCTCTTCTCTGGTATAACGACTACGATCGAATTCTTTTAATAATTCATTGGCTTTCTGATCGTTTTTAAAGGGATTATGACTGGGAGGCAAAGGCTTTTGCATCATATCCTTTTGACGATAAATGCCATCAGAGGCGAAAAAATTGTCTGGTAAATCAATGTTGGGCCCATTTAATCTATTAGGACCATTAGGTAACTTATTATTAACGCCAAAAGCGTTGGGACTATTAAAGTTGTTATTATTGTTGTTGTTAAAGTTGGAACTATTATAGTTATTAAAACCGAAGCCATTAGTATTATTAAAACCATTATTGGAGGCTCCGAAACAGTTATTGTTATTATTTCCACCCATGCCAAAATTAGCATTAAAATTGTTATTCATACGACTGTTGTTGAAATTATTCATGCCAAAAAAATTATTTGGTGGCATAAAACCGGGCAGACGTTGATCACCATTAAAGAAATTACCGCCTCCCTGACCATTGAAATTCCTTACGTTACCATTAAAGTCATTTCGATCACCATTTCTATTATCTTTGCTTATATTATTGTTATTAGTTTTATTAGCATTTTTATTTTTAGAATTTTGTGTTTTTTCTTGAGGTTTATTCTGGCTTTCCTTTAAACTTTTCCAGTCTTTAAATGACAAAGGTTTTTTATCATTGCCGGTCTGTTCCTTGTTGCCAGCTTCATTGTTTTGTTGATCATTTTCCTGGTTAGAATCGCTGGACATTTTTAATTAATTGTTAATTGAAATTTATATTAAAATAAATTTGATATTTTCTATATGTGTATATATACACACAGTTGTAAAAAGAAAACAAAATACAATGAAGTTGGCTGCAGTTGTTAATTTAAAAAACCAGGGATGGGTTTATACATTGATATTTAAATAATTTACTTTTTGTCGAAAAAAGCTAGAATCTACTTTTTTACCGATAAGTCGATTTTGTAAATTAAAATTGTAAATTCAACATTAAAAAATTCAAAATGTTAATAGCACATGGGAACAGCTTTGTATATTACAGCTATAAAGGTAAAACTTGCATTTTTAATAAATTTTGTATTTGAAACTTCCCCCATAGTATAGGTGTAATCGATGGGAAGGAACAATTTATTTATGAAGAAACAGCAGTGGAGATTTTTACGTAAAAATTAATTAAAATTTAACAACCATTTCCTTTATTTCCACTTTCTTAATATTCAATACATTTTAAGAATGCCTTAAAGTATGCTGTGAAATATAACACTGAATACACTTTTACACAACATACTGACATGATACATTTATGCAAAATATTTTCTTTCATATTTTCATTTTGATTTATAAGATAATAATGTACATAGTAATTTTAAACGCTGTTTGAAATAGCGGTTTTTTAATCCTCTGGCATCACTGTTTCCATAAATGACGTTCTGTACGAATGAAAAAGAAGAAGAGGAACAATTAAAATTACTCAACTGTCATCACAAAGTATACTTTGTGTCTGTGTCGATTAGATTTTCTTCGTAAGTGAAAAGTTAATTTTGTTAAATTTTTTGGTAAGTTTTATTGAAAAAAACGCTCAAAACCTCATCTAAATCAAAACAACAGTGAGTAAAATCTATATAATATAAAAATTTCAAGAAATTTCATGAAATTTACGCCTGGAAAAGTGATAGAAATTATAGATTGAATGTGCGTTTGTGAAAATTTTTTTTTGGTTAATAGCTGTGCTGACTGTGGTGCTGCCATAGCGCAGCTGACTGAACTCTGTATTCATCGCAGTCAGTCGTTGTCGTGTATGGATGTTTTGTTGCTATTCTCGACAAAATGATTCAATTTTTGGAAGGGCGGCAAGTGTGGAGGGCGAGGCAAATACAATATTTGTTGCGTTGCTTCACACACACTCCTCTTCCTTCTTCATTGGGTTGGATTTTTTTTTTGTTAATACACACATATGACGAGGCTAAATCGCATAGTGTAATAATTACAAAAATGAATAAATAATAATCTAAAAAAGAAGACGCCCAATTAGAATGTCCCGTTTTTAATTTGAATGAATTTCGTATAAGAAATAGAGAAAATACATATATCGAAATGTGTACACTTACACTGAGAGGAAATTTTAGTGATCTTATTAGTGAATTTCAAATGAGAGAGAACGAAGTTGCATTGATATGATTTTTTTTTTTTTACAAAAATTGCGCTTAAATTGTAATGTTATAGCATTAAAAATATTATTGGGTATGGTCAGGTCAGTTGAAAAGGTTTTGAAATTTGAAAAACATGTTTATTTATCAATGGTGTGATTTTATGTTTTTTAATTAAAAAAGTAATGAATAATGATATTTGCCACAATAAATTGACGTCATCGTTTGTACTGTATTTCCAATGGGAAGAGAAAAAATAGTAGAAATTATGTAGCTCATTTTATATACTATAGTGTGTAGTTTAAAATTTTAAATTATTTTCAAATTAACTCTTAATTAGACCAACGGACAGAGAAAGTAGCTTATTGGAAATTGTGATCTTCAAATAGTTTTTAAATTTAGAATATTTCCTATTAGACCAACTTGAAGTAGCTATTTTATTAGTATAGTTCTAAATAGAGAATAACTCCTGAAAGTATACTTTACAAAAACTCCTTTTAAAACTATGTATAGTAATTGTTACTATTAAACGAATAAAGTATAACTTTTTACCTCTACGTTGAGTAGGACATTATGCGTTTATGTTGATTTTACTTTGGGTTTAGAAGGGTTATGCATCATAAAATGGTACAACTCCACTCGGGGACCATAGGGGCATTGTGATTCCCTTCGTAGAGTGTGAAGCTCCAAAGATAGAGAAACAGAAAGAGAGAATGCTCTAACAGCAGCTTAAATATTGATATAATTTGTCACAACCGACCTTATGATTCCTTAGAGAGTCCACAGGACCTTTTATAGAGAGTACTAAGGATCCTTTTATATTGGCATCAGTGATATACATATACACCAGCAACGGCTACAAGCCAATCGTTCCTAGTTGAAAATTCCCTTAGAGGTGTTTGCTCAAAGTCTAGAGTCGTAATTCCCCAATAAGTTAAGCAGGATCCTTGTTCAATTCCATAAGATTTTGAGTATTTAACATACAATTAACAATTATTATGGTTTTATGAGAACTTTTTATTTGATGGAACTTATTTGAAAACAAATAAGGGGACCGTAGACTTAATATTATCACGCTATTTGATGTCATGTTATCTTCCTAATCAATTTCATTTTCTATTACAGTTGAACAGATCCTGTTTTTTCTCCCACTATATGTATAACACATATTCCAGAATATTTCTATTTTTTTACTTTCCACAAAATGTGACGTTTATTTTTAATGACACGATCAGAAGTTAACTCTATAAAGAGCATAATAGTCTTTATTTTACTAGTTTTCTTATTTTTCATTGTTTTGGGGTTTTTTTTTTATTCTATTGCAAAAGTTTTTATTTTTCGATACTTATTGAGCAAAACAAACAAAAAAAAAAATTTGAAGCAGAAAGAAAAAAGTGCGCAATAATTTCTTCTCTTCAATTTGGCGTTATGCCCGCCCATCTCCGCTCTGCCTCTCGTCAACAATATCATAATTCTACTTATGAATATTTTGTAAACATTTATCTTTTGTTTATTTATGATTCAGTATTAACGAATGTATCATCTCTTATTTAGTTGATCTGGAAAAATTTTGAAATTTTTTCTAATACCGTCTATAACGTGTCTAATTAATACACTTGTAAAAAATAACAAGAAACGAAAGACAAAGTTCTTAATATGTATTAATATAAATAAGATTGTGGGTACTAGTTGTTCCTATACTATTGCCAAGTTCTTTCTTTTTAGTTTTTGTGTCTGAGTCAATGGAAAAATATGATATTTAATGATATAGACGTTGTCATAAGGACGTTAAAGACTCGAGGAGATTGTCATTGTAGGCAAAGCTATCAGAGAAATCGGAAATTGATCTGCATATGTTCGGGAAAACGGATAATACATACATATGTATGTATATATATTTTTTTGTGTAAACATTTTAATTATTAGTCAGTCTATTGTCAAGACTATAGTCAGTCTATAGTGGAGACTATAGTCAGTCTAAAGTCCAGACTATAGTCAGTCTAAAGTCCAGACTATAGTCAGTCTAAAGTCCAGACTATAGTCAGTCTAAAGTCCAGACTATAGTCAGTCTGTAATCCACACTAAAGTTAGTATATAATCCAAACTATAGTTAGTCTATAGTTCAAATATTAGTCAGCCTATAGTCTAGTAGTCTTTCTATAGTCCAGATTATAATCTGTCTATAATCCAGACCATATTAAGTCTATAGTGAAATCTATAGTCAGTCTATAGTCCAAACTATATTCAGTATATAGTCCAGCCTAAAGTCAGTCTATAGTCCAGACTAAAATCAGACTATAGTACAGACTAAGGTCAGCCTATAGTACAGACTATAGTCAGTCTATAGTCCACACTATAATTAGTCTATCGACCATACAGTATAGACTATAGTCTATAGTTCAGACTAGACTGACTAAAGTCAGTTTGTTGAAAAATAATTTTTTCGATTAAAACTAAATTTTTGGAAGAAATTCGTATTTTTAGTAAAAAAACGAAGGATCAGTGTATAGTCAAATCTATAGTCACACTATAGTCTAAACTACAGTCAGCCACTAGTCCAGACTATAGATAGTCTGTAGTACAAACTATAATCAGTATATAATTCCGACAATTATCAGTCCACACTATAGTCAGTCTGTAGTACAAACTATAGTCAATCTATAGTCCACACTATATGCAGTCTGTAGTCCACACCATAGTCAGTCTATTTCCAGCCTATACTATAGTCAGTCTCTATTCCATGCTATAGTCAGTTTACAGTCCAAATTACAGTAAGTCTATAAACCAAACTATAGTCAGGATCTTCCAAGCTGCCGTCAGTCTAAATTACAATCTATAGTTAGTCTACAATTCAGACTATAGACGGTTTTACGTTTGAACTTTAAATCTGCAAATTCCTGACGTTTTAGTAAGAAAAATATCATAGTTTTGAAAGTATATCTTTTTCTTATTCATGTCTATATCTATTGCTAAAATTTAAGCAAAATAATTTATTTAAAATTAAACACTATATAGAAGATACATGTCTATGTCAAATAAATTAGATATGTATGTATGAATAGTTTTTGTTGTTTTTAGTTTAACTCATAAAAAGTTACAAAGATTTTCTAAAATGTGGACATAATGATAAAATGACTCTTATCATTTGGCAATAGTGTAAAATGATAAGAAGATGTTATACGAAGCAAACAAATTTAAACAAAAATTTGTATAGATATTCAAAAGTATTCATTAGTTGGAAAACTGTTCATTAGCTTTTAGCAGATAATAAAGTGTTGCGTTATTTGACCCATAACTTAAATTCAATTTAAAGTAATTTTTCATTTTCTTATCAGAATTTGCTAAAAAAAAAGAACGAAAGAAATATATTAGAATAAGTTTCTTTTATGGCTAAAAACAAAAATATTTTGCTAAAAATAAAACGCAAAAAATTTAAAGACAAAATCATTAATTTTATAGAAACAAAATCAAACATATTACCTAGGAAACTAAATAAAGAAGAGAATCGACAGTGTTAAAAGAAAATAAACGAGAATTAAATGTTTGTCCTAAAAAAGGGGGCTTAAACAATAAAAATAACTATAGACAACAAGTAGGTGGTAATAATAACAAACATACCTTCTTCAATTGAACTAACAAACATAACAAAAACCAACAAAATAATAAAAAAATTGATTTTTTTCTTTTTGCAAAT